CGATTCTAAGTTGTATTTTTGAAACTGTAAAAAAAAAATTCAGTCTGAAATCTTCATGCCACTTTTAAAAGAAAGTAGAAGTATAAACAACATAGATTATTTAATGTACAAGAAGATTTTGATGGGTTATGTCAACACTGTCTTGTTTCTCTTTACTACTCAAATATGTTTGAAGATTAGTCAAGATTCCTGACTGCTACAACCTTCTCTCTGTTTCCTTCCACAACCCGTTGCCATCTCCCCAACCTTTCTATTGAAGCTGCTCTGTCAAAAGTTTCCAGTGATCTCAATATTGCCAATTAAGTTACCACTTAAGCAACTGCCTATGTGACTTGTCTACTGTTGACCACTCACTCCATTCATTCCTTTTATTCATTCATTCAAGAAATACTTGTTGCTTAACTTGAACATGTGTGAACGAGTGTGCGTGGCATAATTTTTAATCTCTCAGAGAGCAGTGGTCCTGATCCATTGCCACTAGAGCTTTTGCTTTAGACTTTTTAGATACGGTGATGGACCTGCATATATCTGTTCAACTTTTCTGCAAATGATTCCTGTCTGAAAATGGCTAGGAATGTTTAGAGGTATAACACATGAAAGCTAAAAGGACAGAAATTTGATTAGCACAGCTCCAGCTTTCAGAAGGCTCTGCACATGCATTCCTAGCACCACGTCTGAAAGATGACAATGAGCCCTCTTGCTAAAACTGATCTCTTTTCCTAGAACATTTTGAGGAAAACAGGATGTTGAGTAGGGATGTCTACCAAGCTTACGGTTTTAATTTCAGTGCCTGTACATTTAGCTATTATTTATTGAATCTCTTCACTAGTATATTGTCTACTTGAAAAATACCTCGTGTGCTTGGGAACCTCAAAAACTGGGATGGAAGCTTGACAGAGTAGGATTAGGAAGAGTAGGATATCCAAAAATTGTGGTGTGGTGTGGACTTTGGACTGAGCTGAATATTTCATTTATCTGCATATACTCCTCTTGAAACATAGTTTCAGCTTATTCATTAATACTAGGTCTTTCATAGATTTTGGATGGATGTTTAATTCACTGGAGATTATTTACCCTAACCATATCCATTTATTAAACTGGACCAGTCTGCTGCTATTTCTTTATGGGTTTCATAACATCTCAGAAACTAAACTGAACATAAAGGAAGACCAAGTTTCATATATAAAAGAAAGGATGTTGAATCTCTTGCACTTGAATGTATAGCAAGAAGAAAGCATTTAGGACAAAAACCCTGCAGGAAATATTATGAATGTCCTTGAGCAGAACAATGAAAGGTGTTCGAAGAAGAAAGGTGATTCTTCTATTAAGACAAATTAATATATAATGTAATATCACAGCATTTTTTAATTGTTTGAGGATTAGCATATGATACTTTCCCTTGGGAAAAGACATCAGGGATATCTCTTCACTCCCTTTCAGCCCTAGCACTGGAGCTCTAATGCTAAGATGCTTCAAAGTAGCACAAGCCACAGAGCAGTCTCCCCTCCCAGAGGGCACAAAGACAGTTTCAGAAACAGCAGATTTATATGAGATTTGAGAAGGAAATGTCATTCAGAAATAACCTCAGGAAGATATCAAGAAAATGGCAAAAATTACGTAATATAGGCTGGACACACTCAGTGTTCCACTGTGTTTATTTGTTCAAAATTAATTTTGGTGACTTGTTCTCCATGATTTGAAAGGCCTACCAACCTTGAACCATTCTTTCTAGTTATTAGAGGGCTCCTTCAATGGTCAAATGTGATTGCAACCTGAGCCACCACAATAGCCCCATGGAAGTCAGCAGCATTGTGTTTTTAGGGGTTCAGTCTTCCCTCAGAGCACAGTACTCTCTCCTGAGTTACGTTTCAGTTTGGTCCTAGGGATAAGGCTTCTCAGGCACTTACGTGGTTACAATTCCAATTAATTTCAGAGACTGCTGATATGTTCTTCTTATGAATGCCACTACATGACCCTCATGTGTGGGAGAAGGCAAGGTGGCCTCCCAGCCAGTGCTTTATTCTGAGAACCATCTATGTTTTGTTGCTAAGGCAACAAGGGCATTCAGGGCAGAATAGCAGCTACTTTCCATGTGGAAAGTATTAATGACAGAAATGATTTGTGAAACTGGGCCAGAAGCACATTTTCCCTTGACTTATCATATGTACTATTTTTTTCCTTTTGTTCTCTGGCCACCTTTTCTGAAAAACTCTTTGGTGGAAAAAATCCAACCCCTGAAGCATCAGAAAGTGACTGTAGTTCATGAGAAAGACCATTCATAAATTCATAGACATGGGCAGGCCCCACCTAGAAACTCATGAAATCTTTGAAAATGTTACAAGTCTGAAGGTTTCTATTTTAAGGTCTCATAAGAGATATAACATTTGAAAGTGTACAGTTAGCATTATTGTTTTCTTTTTCCCAAGTGATTCCATTCCTTCTTTCCCTGCACTTTCAAATGAACATTATAACCACGTAGAAATGCACCTTTCAATAGACCATTGTTCCCAGCCAAAGTCCACTATAAGGGAAGACAGATGGAACTTCCATACTATCCAAAAGAAATGTATTTATCTCAGGCCAAATATTCAGGATATTTGACATGTTTTCCTAAGGGGATAAATATGGTATGGTAGTTATGATCAGACTTCTGGGCTTGAATCCTGACTCTGTCCCTTACTAGCTCTGTAGACTTGGGCCCATTACTTAAACTCTTTATGCCTTAGTAGGCTAATCTGGACAGTGGAGATAAGAACATATCATGCTTCAAAAGGCAGTATTTGTGTTAAATGAATATTTAAAACTGTACCTGTACATAGTAAATATGCAACAAATAAATGTTAGCTGTTATTATAGAAGTTTGAAAATAAATAATCCTCCTGTGCCCATTAGAGAATATAGAATTACTGAATTTTAGAGGTCTTCTTTTTTTTGCACAAATTACAATAGCAGTTTCTTTAAAACGTTTTGTAATAAAATGGTAATGGATAAAAAGAAATAAGTCACTATAAAATATAACATTATTTTCAGATTGAGGGACAAAATAGTTTATTACGTCTTTAAAATTTATAAGTACAGTACATTCTGGGAGGCAAAATCATCCCCTGAGATCTGACTTTTAAGATAATACACTAATAAATGTATAAAATCAAAAAAATTAGCTAATGATCAATGTGACATGGATCTCTAATGGATCCAAAGAGTAGTAGAAATTACATAGAAGTTAGTAATAGTCTCAAAACAAAAGTCGAGAGACTACTAAATTTGTAACCTTAAACCAAAAATACAACTAGAGGGAGAAAGGGAAGCTCACCCCCACTGTGTAGCCTTCCAACAATTTCCAGCATTCTCTAGAAATTGACATATTTTCAATTGACAATGAACTTTGTATGTTCACTTGGCAGTGAACTTTGTGACTGAAACCTAAGTGGTAATTGTATGTCGTTTATATTTTATGATTTTGTAAAACTGTCATCATTTTTTTCATTTAAAAAAGTTTTAGAGAGAAGTCCTTGGGAAATTGATGAAGTTCTCAAATACTTTGGGGGGGAATGACTCCTTTTATGATTATGTTGTGAAAGTCAACCACAAAGTGCTATATGTCAGAAAAATTATAACCACCTCCCCTCCAAAAAACTTGACTCATTATTTACTAAAAATTAATGTATTTGGGGGATTAAAAGCTAAATGTTGTTGAAATAAATTTATTTGTTTAAAAAAAAACAAAGTGGTAAATCTATTAGACATATAGAATGATGACACCTTTTATGGACCTGTCCTCCACCATCAAACCCCAGCTCTGATGTTTAATTTTAACCTCTTTTTCACAAACAGGTAAAAATATCATCATAGGTAACCAAAGCATTCTGGAAATACTGTGTGGACTATCAAAATATATTATTTTTCTTGCTACAGGATTTTACCTACAGCCAACACAATTTTATGAAAACTTCTACTCAGTATTCAACAAGACCATTTCTTTACCCCAGAGAGAATTAATCATAGAAAAGGACTGGGAAAGACAGTTGCCCCAGATGAAGCTTAAGCACACTCCTGCTGAAAAGCTCATTCTATTTTAATTCGCCAAGTACAAGTGTCCTAGTAAATCATACTGCTGTCATTATCTCATTAAAAATACTGTACTTGTCACTCCCTTTCCTCTTTCTCAAGTGCTTCCTACAACTCAAATTTAACGTCATCCTTAAAAGACTGACTTTATCTAGGGTCAGGTGGGGACAGCATCTTCTGCTGTTATTACTGCCACAAATTCCATACAACTCCAGTCATTAAGTCAACACCATTTATTGGATATTTACTATATCCATGAAATTTACTAAGCATTGAGAAGAGTTAAAAGGAACTATTAATAAAAAGCTTGCTTTTAGCAAACTAATGGCCACCTTCATTGGAAAAGGGAGCCTTATAACCAGGTCTTTCAAAGAACCAAAGATGCTGATATATTTTCAAAGACATCAGCATTTTTGGTTCTACTATTTAGCTCTTATTCAACCCCTACCTATCTTGGCTGGTTATCTGTGGAATGATATTGCCAGCATATCACTGATAGTTGAAATTTCCCTATAATAAAAAAAGCTTGATTTCTGTTGGCATGACAGTTGTAAATTCCCTTATCTTATAAACTGTATATTGAATTAACATTACATGTGGGAAACAGAGTGGTTTGAATTGTGTTACTTGTCACTGCTTTTCAGTTTCTAGTGAGTCATAAAATGACTAACCATCAGGAGTAAGAAGGAAACAGCAAAGATTCCAGATAATGGCTTATATTTAATAATGCCCCCTTTGAATAATATAATAGTAAATGATAAACGCCACTGACTTCCTGAATGTACTTGGTTCTGTGTATACATCTGCAGGTTATTATGCATTTCCAAAGGTACTTTCTGAAAGAGTCCCTTGACTTCTACCTGATAAAATATGCATTACATAGAGCACTAGAGAAAGACACTTTTCCTGTCTTAACCAAAGGGTAAGATTACCTTATTGCCTTGAAATCCCTTAGGGCCTGGATCCCCTGGAGGTCCACTAATGCCCTGCTCCAAGATGGAAACCAAGAATTAGTTCTGGATACAAAAGGTCAACCAGGAATGAATCGTTTTTTAGGGCCCCTAGAGATCCTAGAGTTAGAAGTCAGACTATATAACTCAGAGCTAAATTGAGATTATATTCAATTGGGAAATGGGATAAGATAAAATTTCTTGAATCAAATAAGTAGCTTTTAAAATAGCATTTAGGCTGAGAGCAAACACTTTATTGATGAAACGTTTGTTTTCTGAACCTGTGTTTCCAACCTAATTCCTGTACTGGACTCCTTTTTTGAAGGATTTTGACTATTAAACATTTTTTAATATCTAAGGCATATGTATCTGAAAGTCAGAGCTTCCAATGGACCCTGTGATAACCAGAGTTACAGCTTTGCTCTGACAATTCCAGATGAAAGCAAAGAAGTGGATGGTTAACTAGATGCTATCTAGGAAATCCTGGGTAAAAGTATAATTTTCAATAGACTTTCTGAAATACTGAAATTAACTGTTCACATACACCCCCAGTATAACTTTAGAAGAGACAAGTCCCTAAGACTGAAAAAAATTGTCCAAATTATTTTCTGAAATCCATAGAATGTCTAACCTAAATAAATGCCTTAGAAAATCAGTCCATATTATAGAGCATTAAGTATTTGTAATGACGGAACAATACAAATACTGTAAGTTAGATAAAATACATAGGTTTTCCAACTATATTATAGAAGCAATGCAAAAAATAATTACATCCTACTTTTAACTACTTTGACTTTCTTCATCTTCCCACACTCTAATTTTTTAACTTTATCCCCTTAGCTACTCACTAAGAAGACTTGCCTATTGGTACTTATCTTTAGGGAGCCTGAGTTAGTTAATCAAAACATTAGGGAAGTGGTTTCCAAAGTTCGTTGCACATTAGCATCATCTGGGGATCTTTAAAATCATTAATGCCTGGCTCCAATCCCCGGACATTCTGATTTAACTGCTAGAGGGTGAAAGTGGGCAAAGGGGTTTTTAAAAGCTCCCTAGGTAATTCTAATCCGGACTTAGATTTGATTTTAACCTCCTTACCTGAAGTCCTCTGGGTCCCTTTGGTCCATATGGCCCTGGGGATCCCTGTGGAATAAAATCAATAAGTCTCCCTAAATATCCATCGTCACAGTAAAGTGATTTCAGGTGGGAGGGAAGGGACTATGTTCTGGGTAATGACCAATCTTCCCTGGTTATCTAAACATCAAAGACAACAAATTGAAATTATTTTAATTAACAAGCCAACTGGGGAGTCAAAGTTTCCTTTAGTAAACAAATTCCATGAAAATACAATTTTAGATGTAAGTCTCTGGCCTATATATTGACATTTTCGTTATAGTAAAAGAATTCTTCAGAAAGGCAATAAACTTGGTGGAATATGTTTCATTCAAGAGGGCAATGTCCATTAAATTAACAATTTAGTGCATTTCCATGATATCTAGATCACTTTTTTGCCCATCTTCAAGAATGGAACTTGGCAAAATAGTGTTTATTCTTGACACTCTTCTAATAGAAAATTTTTCAATATATTCTGCAAGTAGGAAACCCTTTAAAATTTATTTTTATGAGAATATAACATAGCCTAATTTCTCTTTCCCCAAATTTCCACATTTTTTGCTTATCAAAGCATTACCTGTTAATGATAAACATACTTTGATAATTATAGAAAAATGTAAAAAAAAAACAATTTTAAAAAATCACACAGAGACAAATGCTGTTAACATTTTAGGTGTATTTTCATTCAATTTTCTTCCCGATAGATTTTTCTTCAAATAATTTTATCAGATTGTATATCCAATTTTGTGTCCTACCTATTTTGGCCTCACACTGTGTAAAAAATATTTTGTCATTAAAAACTCACAGTAAACAGAGTAATATTCAAGAATAGGGACCTATTGTAATTTATTTACTCATTTCCCTAGTTTTGACCTTTAAGTATTTTTGATGATTGCTATTTTAAGTGATACCATAATGAACATCTTTGTGTATAAATCTTTGTCCAGCTGCTGATTCATCCCTAAAGATAGCTTCCTAGAAGACGCTAGCTGAGGCAGAGACTGTAAGCCCATTCAAGGTTCTCTCTGGCTCTCCCTTCTCTCATGCCGTACGTGGAAATAGAAACTTCCTCCGTAAAGTTTGTTGTCCATTCCCACCACCTGAGTATGAGTGAGTGTATCTTCATCTTATGGAGTCCCCATCAACAATGACTATTATATGTTACTTCACTGTTTGTTTGTTAATTCGATATGTGAAATAATATTTTAATGTCTTAATTTCACTTGTCTGGTAGCGTGTTTGGGTATTTTTCTCATTTATTAGCCATCTATTAATATATTTTCTCTTTTGTGTCTCTTCACGTTGTTCAGGTGGCTTTGTTACAAACTTGTGTGAACTCTGCATCAAGAACACTATCTCATTGACTATAAGACACATTTTTTTCACATTTTTACATCTCTGACATTGAGGTATGTCTTAGAATCAATTGCATCTTCTATTTATAATTAGCAGCGTGCTTTTCTTTCTTCCTTTGGGCACAGAAAATAATGGGACATTTAACAATCCTGGCATCTTAGTCAATGAAATATGATACTAATTGTCAACCATTTTTATTCCATATAGTTTTCCCAGGTATTGCTCGACTTTCATTTCTGTTCTACTCTACATGTGTCCCTTCTCTATTTCCAAGTACCCATTTTCAATTATCCTCCAGGAAGAACCTATTCATTATCACTCTTTCAGTTTTGCTCAGAGATAATTACCAAGCCTACACATTGCAAAACGCCTGACCGTTAACTCTATAGTCAAAAGCTTTCAGAAAAATCTCAAGCTATCTAAAGTGTTTAGTTCCATGGGCCAGTGTTATCATCTTACCCTCTTCTTTAAATCTTCTGCCTCATTTTCTCTTCTCGACTCCCTCCCATAATTATAATATTGCCATTGAAAGAGTTTATGGTACCTTGATGGCATGCTGTTAATAGTTTTAACTACAATGAAAACTATTTTTACTCTGTACATTTGTGGGCACTTCAACATAAAATGTTTCAGATGTACTTTCTATATATTTTTGTTCTATTAAGGCTGTGTTCCCCAGCCCCTGGGCTGCAGACCAGGTACTGGTCTGTGGCCTGTTAGGAACTGGGACACACAGCAGGTGGTGAGTGGCAGGCAAGCAAGTGAAGCTTCATCTGTGTTTACAGCTGCTCCCCATTGCTCACATCACCACATAAGCTCCCCCTCCTGTCAGATCAACGGCAGCAATAGATTCTCATAGGAGCGCAAACTCTACTGTAAACTGCGCAACCGAGGTATCTAGGTTGCTGGCTCCTTACGAGAATCTAATGCCTGATGATCCGAGGCAGAGCTGAGGTGGTGATGCTAGCACTGGGGAGTGGCTGCAAATACAAATTATCATTACCAGAGAGGTTTGGCTGCACAAAAAATGTCATGTGCTTGAATCATCCCCAAACCATTCCCCCTCCCCTGGGTCCATGGAAAAATTGTCTTCCATGAAACCAATCCCTGGTGTCAAATAGGTTGGGATCCACTGTAAGGAATTCTTTAACATACTTAATATTGTTTCCAGTTTAATTACTTTATCCATATTTATTTTTTAACAAAAAATACATACCTATCCAATCGTCTATGTCTTGCTGCATTTTGAAAATTCCAAACCCTTATCTATTAATATGTGAAGTTGTTCCACATTGTTTATAACTATTTCACTAACTTATTTCATAAAGTTCTTCACTCTATTTTGGAAAGTGCCTGTTCTCAGTGTTTACATCCGGAAGGCAATTGTACTCTGACCTAACTGGAGCTTGAATTGACTTTGCTGTTTAAATTACTCTTTTCACCATAACATTCAGTAGGCATAGCCCCAAAGGTTAGGGTGTCACAAGACAGTCTTAATGGTCCATAAGAAAGACATTTGGATACCTAACTACATTAGGTATCACTTTGTTCATGTTTTACAGATGAGAAAACTGAGTCATTGACTTGAACTCTAGTAGTGAGATCAAACATAATTCAGCCCAGGAATTTTTCCTTAAGGAAAATTAGCCCCAAGGGATCACAGCTGTTAGCATTTTAAAAACAGGTTCCTTACTTTGTCACCTTTTATTCCTGGTTTACCACATTCCCCGCGTTCACCCTAAAAAATAAATAAATGAAATAAATAAGAGAACATTTGTAGTCATTCGATGTTAGGATTTGGGGTTTTTTTTTAAGATTCACAGCAGAATCACTCTGGTTTTACACAATTTTATCCTCAATACTGTGGGTTACATGGGTATTGAAAATTCTTATCCATGAGTCATCCTTAACTTGACAGGATCAAATCAGTGATATCACTTAATGAGGTTTGACATTTTTGAGAAATGGATGAAATTAGAAAGAAAGGAACCTACTACCATCTACCACATATTAGATGCCCTTTGCATACATGATTTAGTTGAATCCACATTATGGCCCAATGACATCAGTTTTACCATTCTTATTTCATGGTTGAGAAAGTTTAAACCCAACAAGATAACTTCCCTTGACCACGTAGCTAGTTAAACAGAAGAATCAGGGTCTGAACCCAAGTCAACTCTAATTCAGAGTCTCGGTTTTTTCAACAACATCATGCTCCAGCCTGAGTACCAACCTTGATCAGCTACCAGTGTTTGCCTAGGGAGCGGTGAGAGAAAAGTTCTGAGACAAGACTGTGTCGTGAGTTGATGGGGAAGGGTGCCATGAGGAGTTAGCAAGATCTGCTGTGAGAGAGAGAGCAGGGCTTGGTGGCAAGCATGCTCTGTATTTTCCATTATCACGCTTTCCTGTCCTGGCTTCCCTAGAACATTACTGAAAAAAACTAACATTTGAATTATGCTTTAGAATGTATTCATGATATTTTATAGACATTGTATCAGTTAATCTGACATTAACTGAGGTATGAACCCATTTTACAGACTGAAAATTTGTGGTTCAAAAAGGTTAAGTAGGCCAGGTGTGGTGGCTCACGCCTGTAATCCTAGCACTCTGGGAGGCCAAGGCAGGATGATTGTTTGAGCTCAGAAGTTCGAAACCAGCCTGAGCAAGAGCGAGACCCCCATCTCTACTAAAAATAGAAAGAAATTAATCAGACTACTAAAAATATATTAAAAAAATTAGCCGGGCATGGTGGCGCATGCCTGTAGTCCCAGCTACTCGGGAGGCTGAGGCAGAAGGATTGCTTGAGCCCAGGAGTTTGAGGTTGCTGTGAGCTAGGATGACGCCACGGCACTCTAGCCCGGGCAACACAGTGAGACTCCGTCTCAAAAAAAAAAAAAAGGTTAAGTAGAGGAAATGTGGTGTATATATACAGAGTGTAATACTATTCAGGCTTTAAGAAGGAAATCCTTCCATTTGTGGCAGTGTGGATGAACCTGGAGGACATACGTTAAGTGAAATAAGCAAGGCACAGAAAGACAGATATTTCACGATCTTACTTATAGGTGAAATCTAAAAATGTTGAATTCATAGAATAAGAGAGTAGAATGGTAATTACCAGGGGTACATAGCAGGTAGGCATGTGTGGGAGATGTCTATCAGTGAACACAAAATTTCAGTTGTGCAGGAGCAATAAGTTCCAGAAATCTGTTGTACAATGTGATGAATATAGTTAGTAAAAATGTCTTGTATTCTTGACAATCACTGAGAGAAAATTTTGTGTCCTCACCACAAAAAATGATGTGTGTGAGGTGATGTATATGTTAATTAGCTCAAGTTAGCCATTTCGCAATGTATACATATATCAAAACATCATGTGTTATTCAACAAATATGTACATTTATTTGCCAATTAATTTTTTTAAAGAAAAATAAGCATTTGTAAAAAGGTTAATTAGGTTGCTCAAGTAGAATGAGAATTGGGGCCTCTGAATATTAATCCATTATATCAGACTTTTAAGACTTCTAATAATTAGAACTAAAGAGTAACAGCCAATTAGAAAAATGTCTAAAGTTTCATAGTCATAACAATATCATCTCTTGTTTATAAAGCACTTTAGAATTTTCAGAATGCTTATATGCATATATATTTATTATAAGCTTCAAATCAATTCTTGTTTTCAAGATAAGGAAACACAATCGGAGAGGTTAAATGATCTGCTGAAATGTCCCCGCCAGCCAGTGACTCTCAGTCCAGGCCCTCCCCATGCACTTGGCTGCTTTTTCTGCTGCTTTATTACCTGTGTGCTGCTCTAGGACATGCTGCTCCAAGTGCCACTACCCGATGACAGAAGGAAATTGCACTAGAATGTAAATCAACGCATCACTTCCTTCGTCAAGGAAATCTTGCCATGAAAAATAAATATCAGCTGAACTTAACAGTGTATATAGCAATATGGTGGATTTATATGCTGGTGCAAGCTTCATGTTGTTGCAGAATAGCAACAAACAGTTCCTAGACTGCCAGCCAGCTTGCAGACCGCACTTTGAATAGCACTGCTCTGAGGGAAATCATCATTCTTACCACCAATTTTGTATGCAAAGTGTGTGCCAGACCCTTTCCATTATTGCTAATATTGCCCTTGAGGTAATAGCAGCCTTGTAAGGGGGGTGTGTGTGTGTGTGTGTGTGTGTGTGTGTGTGTGTGTATATATATATCCACCTATACATAAGCAAAATGAGGCTCAGAGAAATTACATGGCTTGTCCATGACCACAAGCTTGAGTCTGTTAGGCTCCCAAGTTCATGTTCTTGTCAGTCACCCGTAGCTGAACAAGGCACACTGTCAAGGGCTGCAAGTTACTTTCTATTAACGAGATGCTTCTCTCTATGGTACCGCCTGGGCTCTAGCTGGATTCAGAGCAGGAAAGAGGGAGATGCAATTCTTAGAGCCAGCTATGCCTCTATTCAAAAGCAATTTGTTCTCTCTCCACATCCCTTTGTGAGTCAAACTGACCCAGGAAAAACTGAGCTATCACTTAGAACAAGTTGACATTTATTTCTGAATGCATTGGAAAATCATTCTTGAAGAATCAATTAGAAAGCAATTAATTTAATAATGTTGGATGGGAATAAAATGAGTCAAGCACCAAAATATAAAACAGAAAAGTACCATAAATACACTCAAAATTCTTTTGGCCAGAATTCACATTCCATTTGTCCAGACAGATTTTTTAGCTATAGGGTCCTGAGGAACAGCATTTGTTTTGGGGGCAGATTTCCATCAATGAAAATATTGTACTCTTGTTATTTGCCTCTGCAAAGGCATTTTCCTTTCTGGGGGCTCCTTAATCCCTGTGGAATGGCCGCAATTACAGAGTTGCAGAGAGCAAGTGCATCAGAAAGCTATGAACAGATTAGCTCTGTTCCCAGCTTCTGATTTCTGATGCTGCTGCTCCTGGTGAAATTCTGATTTGAATGTCGATGGTTCAGGATCATTTTGTTCTGACAGCTTGTATTTTCCAAGTGAGAACTCCTACAGTGAATCTATAATTCTCCAAAAGTTTAAATGAATCTTTTCAAAAAATGTATATATAAAACTTCCTGGTGTTGATAACTGGCCCATCGTATAAATCAAGATGGGGCAGGGGAGCTACCCGTAATTGTCCTCAACTGTAACACAGGATAATTTTACAATCATGAAAATTGTTTAGCTTTCCCATATTAATACTTGTCCCTTGCCTCTTCATAATAGCACCTTACATTTATAGACAGGCAACCACTTCATTCTCCAACTACCCTGTAAATTAGACAGGCCTATACTAATCTAGTTCTATCCAGATGAAAAAACAGACATTTCAAGACATTGAGTTGCCCAAATTCTGAAGGCTGTTAAGAGCAGAATCATGAGATTTCTTACACTCTTCCCCTTTTAGGTCTAACATTTTCAGTGATTGGGATATATTTATTGGCTTGTATAGGTTCACCCCTAATATTAGCAAGGCCCAGGGCAAAGTGCAAGCAGAAGCCCACATACCATGTGTCTAAATATTTGAAAGTTACAAATTAAACCAATAATGTTCCACCTTCCTTTCTTGACAAATATAGCTTCAAAAGGAATAAAGAATTAAAGGATTTTGGATTTCCTCAGCAGTCCATGCCGGATACAGCCCCATGCGCACAGCCTACAGCCTGCAGCCTGGCCCCTACTTTACTTCCCACCTCCAGCTCCCCCCAGAGCAAGAGCAGCACCCACACATGAAGATGCCCCAAGGAGCACAACAAAGCCCCCTAATGACCTCTCCTTCCCCCACAAACAGCTACTATTTGGTACCCCCTCAGGCCTGGGGAAAAGATGGACATGGGAAGGAAGTTTGTGTATGCCCTCCAAGCATGCTCAGGCCATTGTGCAGGGCCTTCTGGAGTCTTGGTTACCCAACGCATGATCTAGAAGACAGCACAGACCTCCTGCAGACTCTGGCTCCATGGGGAGTGGGGAAGCCAGGGGAGACCCAAAGCAGGACCCTCTAAAGTTCAGGCCTCTTGTGCAGGCCTGAGGGTTGTAGTCCCTGTAGGATAGTTTGGATGATAGGCACGTGTTCTGATTTCAGATTGAAAATCTAATACTAGAGAGCACTGTGGGACAGACCTGTCAATGAACAATTGTGCACTCTTGGAGGTTCCTAAGCCCCAGTCCAACTTGTTAATTTCCTTTGAAGCAGTTTGATTTTCTAACTTAAAACTTGCAAATACACATAAAATCATCTACCACCCCATACCTTTGTTTGCTTATTTGCCAAATTTACGCCCCACGCAAGATGTGCCCAGATGCCTGACTCAATGAAGTCAGTGGTTCTTTCTGCTTACCCAAGACATAATAAATCCTCTCTTTCTCCTGGGAGAGGGTTTGCTGTCTAGATTTTCATAGGAAGGTAAGCATCTACTTGCAGTATTGCTGCATCTCTGTGTTTGTGTAGGGAAACTTTTAATCTGGATATGTGTGCTGCATGGCTGTTAAATTGGGGTTTTCTCTGACGAGAATTCATGTTTGCAAAACTGAGGGAGGCTGGAGTCTAATCTCAGGAATTTTAGGATGCCCTCCACGCCTAAAAACATACACCTATATCTTAAGTTCTATTATTATTTCATTTTAACAGAATTAAGAGTGTGTACAGGAATGAGGGAATCCAGACTTATAAAAACAAAGGAAAATAACTTTTATTAAACATACAAGCATGCTTATGTTTCTGTTTTTCTTTCTGAAATTCCGGTCTATCTATTCGTTGTTGCCAACTTACCTTGTCACCCTTATACCCAGGAATTCCCTAATTAAGAAAAGAAAAGAAAAGGTAAAATATGATATTATAAGGCAGAGTTAGAGTATTAGATGTTTTTCACTTACAAGGTTTAACAAAAACACATCTATACAGTCTTGGAAAATAAGACCATATAAATGTAAGCTATTTCACTTCTCTTTGCACTTAGGGAATGCGCATTTACTAAGGAGAAGAAAAGAACCTATTTTTCCCTATATTACATTCCATTCTCAGTTTCAGGTATTTTTTCAAACCCAATTTCTTACCCTTTGGCCCAAAGCTGAAGGAGATAGTGTACACTGAAAGTCATTGTTAAAGTGATGACCTATAATGGTCCTTTCAAAATTGTCATATTGACTTTTAAACTATGAACTATTACAGCTGAAAATGTTTCACAGAGACTCTTAGAGAAATTGGCTTTGAAAATGAGTTGAGATAATGGCCTTTAAAATGTGTGTAAATATTTGTGTCCTTTCAAATTCGGTCTAGAATATATAACATCAAGGAAGTGAATGGTTCCTTTATCAACCATAATGAAAAAGTTAAGTTACTGTCTTTTATCTCACGCTAAATAAGGGGCCAATGCTTCTGCTGTCTTCCCTGTGGCTCCAGGAATCTTGCACCATTTTCCCCATTGTCACTGCCCATAAGCCCTTTAAGTACAACAATAAAATACTAAATGGACTGGGAAATTACCAGCCCTAAACAGCGAGTCTTTTTCAAACGGGATTTCTTGTCTTTTTCATACAACTTTATTTTTCAAGCATGGAAATAGAATTGTGAGGCATATTTAAAGTGCGCTTGAGGAACCTGTAGAATAATCAAATTTTTAGTGCAGTTACATGTGAGTCAAGCTACAAAATTTTGTTCTATGTGACCTTTACACAAAGGGAAACTTCATGAAGGAAATAACACTTCTTTCCAAATGAGTGGTCACTCGGGAATAGAAGATAAAGGTACAATTATTCAAAAACATTGTTACACTTCAATTCCACCCAACTGAGAAATATTTATTCACATAAATGGTCTAATTTTAAGAATCATGCTTAAAATTAAAGACCATATTGTAAACAGTTAAATTGGAATTCTCTTTAAAACAATTCATATTTGTAGTGCTAAAAAAAAAGCCTGAATTTCTAATCTCAGGAATCTTGGGGCACCCCCAACTCTTTATAACACACAACCTATTTAAAATTCTGTCATTACTTCATATTAAAAGATTTAAGATTGCATTTTGGAAGGAGCCAAGATGGCTTTACAAAAATAAAGGAATATTACTTTTAAGAGTATATTCTTTATTCCTGGTTTTCTTTCTGAAATCCCTGGTCAATTTATTGTTTTGTTCCTATATCAGCTCATTTTCTTCTTCTTCTTTCTTCCTTTAAGAGAATCTTAATTATCAGTTTTAAAATATTCAAATCTAAAATATCCAAAGTTGCACTCATCAGTCTCTGCCAAATTTGTTTTTGACGTTTCTATTTCCAGTAGTGTTACACTTCAAATCACATAGAATCAAAATTTTATAATCGTCTTAGTTTTCTCTCTCCTTCTCTTACCCATTACATCCCTTTAATCCAACCTGTTTAACCTTCTCCAACAACTCCCCACCGCACTTAGGGTGAATTCCACTCCCCTGGCCTACAGGACCCTATGTGGCCCGGCCCCTGCCTGCCTCTATGGCCTGGTCTCCTGTCACTCTTCATTAACAGATTCTTTCTTCCTGTTTCTTGAGCCTGCCAACCTTGTTCCCACCTAAGGCCTTTGTATTATACTTGCCGCTTCTTCTGCCTAGAACACCCTCATTCGTTTGTTTTATATTTTCATAACACTTCTCACTGGTAGAAATCATCTTTTTATCTGTTTGCCTACTTAGTCCCTGCCTCCCCCACCCCAGAACACTTCATGAGATGGGGACACTCCTGTGTCTCCAGCTAAAAGAGTGCCCAGTGCAGAGCAAGGCTCAGTATTTGCTGACTGTATGAATTAGAGTTAGTCGCCACACACTATCATTTCCACCCATTCATGGATTCTCACAATGTTCTCTTCCTTTCTGTTTTGTTACCACTGTAGCCCAATGCTGTCCAATAGAGTGTGAGCCACAGAGGTGAGCTGCACATGTGATTTTAAATATTCTAGTAGCCACATTTTAAAAAAAATAAACATCTAAAATTAATTTTAATAATATATTTTATTTATCCCAATAGGTTCAAAATATTATTTCAATATTTTATCAATATGAAAAATTATCAATGAGATATTATACATCCTTTTCTTATACTACATCTTCAAAATTCATTGTGTATCTAACTCCTACAGCACACCTCAATTCAGTCTAGCATGTTTCAAGTGCTCAGGAGCCATATATGGCTAGCGGCTGTCATATTGGCCAGAGCTGATCTAGCCAATCTCCCTGCTACCTCTCACATCAGCTGTAACAACAAACCTTCTTCTAAGTGCTCCTTCCTTCTTGTTCTCTCCTCAAATTTGTTTTTAGAGCCTTGCCAAATTAATCTTCCCAAAACACAATTCTTGGGTCATAAATCTCATCTAAAACTTGGGGGCTTTCCATCACCCAGCAAAACCCAGACTTTGCAGCCAGCATTGAGCATTCACTCTGACCCTAACCCTCCCTTCGAGCTGTGTCTGTGCCCTTTAGACACCCCATCTCACCATTGCCCAACCCACTGCCTTCTCTCGGGTTGCTGCTCTTGGCATTCTCTGCACCTGGAACGCTTATCCCTTTCCACCTTCCTGCTCCATCCTTGCCTGTCACAATCCTCCATCTTCTTCAGGATTCATCCCACAAAACCTACCCCGATGGCTCCAATCTTCTCTGAATGCCTACAATACTTTGTTCATGCCATTTTTATAATAGTTTGACATTCTGCTTTATGTTACACCTATTTTGAATATCTTTCCTTTCCTATAAGATAACAAACTTTTTAAAAATATAAGTGTTTTGTCTTAGTTTTATTTTCACATAAGAGTATACTTTATATGTGAAAGATATCTAAGAAATGTTTCCTAAATGAGTAACACAAATTTCTGAATGAATTTCTATTGACATTATCAATTTTTCTATCATATTTTTTCATCAAGTGGACTAAAAACACCAGGAGAACAGTTTTTAAAATCTCTGGGTCTGAGTCCAAGGCTTGCATCCAAGGGGACAAGCAGAGAGGGATAACACTAGCACAGCCTCCTTTTTATTCACTATACATGTCTCTGCTATTTGCTACACTTAATGCGATGCCCAGAAAAATGCAAAAAAAAAAAGTATGTACTGTAATTATTCTCAGGCAACATCTGCTATCTTCTAATTTGGGGGATAAGAAATCACCTAGAATGATAACTTTTATTTCGTCTACACAATTATATTGACAAAAGCATAGTTTAGACTATATAATTCTTACACTCCTGAAATTCTTATTCTTTATTATGAAAAGACATAAGAAATAAAGCAAAACACTTTTCTCATTTGAGCCTTTCACAAATGTCGAATTAAGCATTACGGAATGTCATATGGTTGAACAGTCCTGGTCTCATTTTCACTCCTGTTGAGCAAAGCATTTTCTCCCCACGTTTCCACTTCTAAGATCGTATCTATCTGCTGCTTGCCTGAGCCATCAAGAGCACAGGTAGACAGAAATCACTTTTGCTCTTGCACTACAGGGGTCAAAACGGTCAATCACAGAACTATAGCATCCCGGGATCACTTTCTTAGGAAGGCATTCCAGTTGTGTACATACCCCTGGACCTCTTTCTCCAGTTTCTCCTTTTTGAGCATCACCCTGTGACAAACAAAAAATTCAGTCAAAATTCCACAGCCCTGCAGAGTGACAGCTCAATAAAATGCATTATTCAGAAGTCCTACATTAATAGGTTAACTCAATTAGGAAAAACCTTTAGTCTTTACCATTGACATTTTCACCATGCAATGTAGGAAAGAAAATAGCTCAGATAAACTTTGCCCTTTGGAGTGAAGCCAGATGCGTAGGATGCAGAATCCAGGTACGCTTTCACAGCTTACACCGCATCCCAGCGCAACAGCCCACCGTCATTCTCAAGGACGGCATTGTTCCCACTGCGAGCTGGTCACTCTGGCTTTTCTCCATGGGGCTTTGGAATATTTTCCAAAATGTCCTCAAGAATAATTGCTTGCTTTTAGCCAGACTTAGGAAAATATATTATGTAGCACAAAATCAGAAACCAAATAGATGAAACGTGAACATACACTTAGGTATTTAACACAACAAAAAGAAGACACGATGGCATCAGTTTGGACCCATATAAGATGAGTGAGTATAGGGGTGTGTGCATGTGTGTGTGTGTGTGTGTGTGTGTTGTAAAGCTGGCCAAGGATGCCATACATTTCCTTTCCCTGACAAGCAGGCAACCGCCGAAATACTTTTATGTATATAATTTATTATATTTTTCATTACCTCTCAAAAAATATTCTCAGGAATAGAGTTATTGTGTTAAATTTTTAAGTATTTGAATGCCTCCTATGTATTACCTAATTGCTTTCCAAAATGTCTGTCAAGTTACCTTTACAATGAAGAGCAAACCAGTTTCACCACATTGCTGTCACTAGTTACTATTATTTTAGTATTGCTGCATAATTGCTTTAAGAAATGTTTTTTAAAGTTTGAAACACACACAAAACAACTATGTGAACTAGAAAACTGCTTCCAAAAAAAAATCCTCTGGATTCAAAAGTTTTTAAAATGTAAATAATTTGTGTTAAAGGGTACCACATTGTTTCAATTTAAATTTCTTTCATTACCTAATGAAATTAAATGTTTTTCTATTTCTTTCTTTACCAATTTGATTTCATCTCTTGAAAATCATTTGTGTCATTTGCCCATTTTATTGTTAGAGGCTTGATATTTTCTCAACAGTTTGATAAGGTTTTTACATACCATAGAAATTAACTCAATGCACTATAGAAATTAACCCAATGCCCACTGTACTTGATGCAAATATTTTCTGATATGTCTTCTTTATTTTAATTATTATTTTTCATTATACAGAATTTTACCTTAAATTTTCACATAGCTTATCTGCTAATCTCTCTCCTTGTGATTCATTCAGTTGTTCTTGAATTTGGAACACCAAAATACCAACAATGATCTGAATAGATAAGTTATTTCTTTAAAAATCTAGGATTTTTTTAGGTAGGTGCACAAAGAAAAGAATTGGGGAAATGCCTAAAGATGTTCTGGGAGTTTTTCTGTTATTATTGCAGGTCAGTTATCCATAACATAGATCCACAAAAAACACAAGTGCCAATGTCAATCTGATGTGGAACACACATTAGTAGTTCATGAAACATTGTCCTGATTAATTTGGGCCACTATTATTTAAATACCAGTGTCCATTATACTTATTCAATGTCCCTAGGTTTCCTAAACTTACTAAAATGTTCATATGTTCCTCAGAATTTGGGAAAGCAAACTAACACAAACAAGACAGATAATGTAGGAAGTGAACATCCTATATCATTCATCAGAATTGTCAGATTTTTGCCATATACTACAATACTCTTTATTTTTTTAATTTTTGTTCTTTAAATAAATCTAGAAGGAGATAAATTGATTTAAAGAAAAGCTGTTTATTCATTTACCGGGTTTCCTTTTTGTCCTCGCTCACCTTTAATACCTGGGTTTCCATGTGTACCCTGAAGGCAAAGGAAAAAGGATTATTTTAAGCAAGTGTTCTATTAGTTTTCTATACTTTATAATAGTTTCTGATCAGCTTCATCCCATACAATGACAGAATATGGCAAAACCTTCACCTGCCAAGCAGAGACTCAACTCTTTTCTTCCCTTTCCCACACCATGAAAACAGCAGTCTTGAATTGGCAGATTCTCTGGATTTGCTCAAAAGAGGGTAATGTCTCTCTCTTCCTGTCAATTACTTCTTCCCCAAACAATTGCTTCTCAGCAGCTTTGCAAACAAAATTAAACTCATACAAAGATTTAAAAGAATGACTGCAACAGGCAGGAGGATGGGAGTTGTTCCTGTCCTCTCTTCACTGTGGACCACTTCTACAATTCCCCTTCCTTGGTCACCTTTAAAAGAACCAGGCCAGCTTCCTTGCCTTTGGCCAAAGGGGTTCTGATATACAGGGGACGATCTCAAAAGATGGGAGAAGGCAGCTTTCCAAATTGTTCCAGAAAAGCATTTTGTTTTCCTATTCCCAAGGCCCCAAAATGTTTGCCTTTCTGAGAACTGGCTTTGGAGGTTCTCAATAAATGTTAAATAACAGAGTTCTGTGGTTTATCCTGGTTAAAACACGACAATATTGAGTGACTAAAATTGTCAGGCTATCTTAGCAATTGTAAGCTTTCTTACTGTTCGTTTTAAAACATAATTGAATACCCCTTCCCCTGGCAATCTCTTGGTGTATGAAATATAAACTAAAACTTAGTAGGAAGAGAAGGGTAAGCCTTTGCTTTAGCCAAAGTCAGCTTCTACCAGTTGTATTTTAGAGGAAAAAAACAAAGCAAAACAAAAGGACAAATAAACATTCCTATTCTTTAATGCCCTAATGGGTAGAGTGATTTGAAAAGTGTAGGCTTTGGACCCCAGTCTCAAGGTAAAATTTTTTACTTTCTAATACATTCACAGTATGCTTTCCCCTCCCCACCCCTAAATACAAGAATTAGTTGAAAAATTCAATTCATGCATTTTGTGAAACATCTTTATTGGGATTCTATACTTTAAGGATAAGATTTAGAATCACAAATAAATGGAATATTGAATGAGTAGCATGGATGCTTTCTGATGAGATGTGTTAGCATCTCCAGTAATCTTGATGTCATTTCAAATGCTTTCCCGATATAGACATGGCACCTACCAGATATTAGGCCAGAATATAAAGGAAGTACTCCATCTTGGATTATCTTATCAAATATGGAATCATCATAGTAAATCCTGCTATTTATTTTTGGTTACCAAGTGGTTACTTCTGTTTCACAGAATTCACCCTAATCCCCTAAAGCTGCGGTCTGGTCCCCAACCACTTGGGCTGCTGACCAGTACTGGCCCATGGCCTGTTAGGAATCAGACCACACAGCAGAGGTGAGCATCAGGTGAGCGAGTGAAGCTTCATCTGTATTCACAGACACTCCCCATGGCTCGCATCACCACATAAGTTCTGCCCCCTGTCAGATCAGTGGCAGCATTAGAGTCTCATCGGAGCGCAAACCCTACTGTAAATTGCACATGCAAAGGATCTAGGTTGTGCGCTCCTTATGAGAATTTAACACCTGATGATCCGAGGTGGAGTTGAAGCAGCAATGCTAGTGCTGGGGAGCAGCTGCAAATACAGATTACCATTAGCAGAGAGGTTTGACTGCACAATAAATGTAATGCGCTTGAACCATCCTGAAACCATCCTCCCTGCCCCCAGTTCATGGAAAAATAATCTTCCATGAAACTGGCCTCTGGTGTCAAAAAACTTGGGGACCACTGCCCTAAAGCATCCCAACCAACTTCCTTTCCATGAGGCCACACGCTGTTGCTGCTGTACTGCTGGATTCATGTGAAGACAATATTTAACTTCCAGAGAGGTTCGTGTCATTTGCTTCTAATGGCATAAAGCTTTGCCTAAAGCATTGATGATTTGTATTCTCTTTTTCTGTATTTTCACTTCATTATTGAGAAAGTCCAGCCCCAGTTACTAAATAAGGAGTGATGCTGAAATGTCCTTTATGGAAACAACTTGATCATTTTAAAACAAGTCTGCCCTCAGTTCAGGTCAGTAAAATCCCAGGCTCATTTCTAAGGATAGAACATGTCCTTTAGAAATAAAAGAAAGACATAGCACTTCCATTTTTGCTGCTATTTCCAAACAATTGCTTTTTGACAGCCCAAAATAGCTCCAGTGCTTTCAAGAGTGAGTAGAGCTATCATTCCTAGAACTTCCTGACTCAGCCCTAAGTTCAAAGCAGAAATATACTCACAGGAGGCCCTGGGTCGCCTGGATCCCCCTTCTCACATTCACAGATCTTGCGTTCACACTGAATCAATGATGAAATACAATATTATCACATAGTGAAACACAGCATGTCAAATTTTATTCAGTACATGACCAGCTGGAACACTCCCTTGAAGAAATTTTACCTTCCAAGTTTAGGGAGATTTTGCTCTCTCTATTAAATTATTCTAGGCAAACTTGGACCTAGTTAAAGCCAGCTAATAAAGTGGTATTAAATTTTGCTCTGGTTGAATAAAACAGACATCCCATCAAAAATATCTATATAATGTATAGATGTCAGTTAAAAGGAGAAAAAAACATTTTCAGTGGACTTTTGCTGCTTCTCCTATATAACACATCAAAGGTCAATAATATACAAACATTAAAAATTCCTTTACTAGGCAAAGAAAAACATTTGAATTATACCATATTTTATCAATTATAAGATGCACATTTTTTCCTCATGTTAGCATCTCTGAAATCAGAATGAGTCTTATAACAGCTGTCAACCACGTTCAATTATGAGGAAGTAGCTGTTTTCTACACATGCACTTCAAAACTCACAGAATGAAATGGAAGAAAATTTCAGAACACTCTTGAGAAATGCTGCATCACCAATGCATTTGCTGGCATAGAGGCCAGTATTATGTGGAAAAACAAGGACATCAACAACTCAGACAAAAAGTGATTCAGAAGATTGAGATTCAGATGTGAAGAAGTTTTAGAAATAACCAATGTATTTTGGTTATGTATTTCCTTCTACGGATAAACAAAAGTGATACAGGATTTAAAAATCTATATCTAAAATACCTAAAAGAATTCTCTCCATACTTATAAAAATAAAAATTGTAATTGATAAGAAGATACTGTGTCATAATTTAATTGGCAAGGTTTTTTCCTTTCTTAGTGGTACATAAAATAATGGTGTATCTGACCATGTATAATTCAATAAAATATGGTGCTCTACAAGATTAGGTTATTGGGTTAGCTTCTTTGCTTCTTTTTTTTCCTTTTTTTCTTTCTTTCTTTTTTTTTTTTTTTTTTTGAGACAGAGTGTCACTCTGTTGCCCAGGCTAGAGTGCAGTGGCATCATCATAGCTCACTGCAACCTCAAACTCCTGGGCTCAATCAATCCTCCTTCCTCAGCCTCCCTACTAGCTGGGACTACAGGTATGCACCACCATTCCTGGCTAATTTTTCTATCTTTTGCAGAAACGGAGTCTTACTCTTGCTCAAACTGGTCTTGAACTCCTGGCCTCAAGCAATCCTCCTGCCTCAGCCTCCCTAAATGCTAGGATTACAGGTGCGAGACACCATGCCTGGCTAGTTCCTATTACTTTATGCAACAATACTTGTATATTTCCTGATGTCAAATAAGCAGCTCATTGAACAAAGTCCAGATGCTCCAAACTCTTTGCTTTAAGAAATGCACATCCAGTACAAGACTCCTCAGCAAGCTCATGGTCATCTATTGCTGAGTCCTATCCAACCAATGTCGGCCAGCGTTTTTTGCCATGTGGTCTGATTGCCACCATCAGGCTCCCATTCCTTCACAATAGGAAAAAGATGAGTTTACAGTCAATCAGCAGGCAACAGGGGACGCTCTGAGCTCTGTCTCTTAGCTAGGAACACTTATCTAACCCTAGCCAACACCAGGAACACCCCCCAAAGTTGAAGACCCACACGAGTGGCTAGCATCAGAGTTGTGCTTAGAATAAAGGAAGCCGTATCAAAGTAAGCAAAAACTAAGCAAAAGCCACTGATTTCTAAAATCACTCTCTAGAATCACATTAAATATTTCCTACTTTTTTAAATTTTCCAACCCACAGCGGATATGGTAGCACAAAAGAAATCAGATAGCTGCCTCAAAATAGAGTGGCTCATTTTAAAAGGAATTAAGCATTTTTATTTAGTCATGCCTAATCTTCTAATGTTAATTATAATGCCGATTTGATAATGCAAGTTTTTATAGTAATTCATAGTAATCAAAGCATATGGTGCTTACCTTCTTTTCAAATAAGGTATCCTAGAAGGGAAAAAAGAATGAAGCATTAACTCGATTCATGGTTCTGCTTCCAGCTACTTATTAGTCTTAATTATTCCCTACGGGATATGCAATTTCCAAGAAGAATAGCAATTCAGCCTTTTTAACCTTGTAAAAGCAATAAAGTCTACCAGCCAACCACCGAAGGAGCACTCTAAGCCATATGATAATAGATGACGTGACTAACATTAAAAATTAATCTATATTTTCTAAGAACTTTATCTTGTTGCATCCTATGTTTTATCTTTTGTTTCCTTTATCAGCTCTAGAAATCTCTATAATTTGGCTAGAAGCTTAATCAGTCATAATTAGAAAATTCTCACTTTTACTTACAAAAACGGAGGCAGAATACAAAATTGTGTATTTTTTTCTATTTTTTCCATCCCTATGTATATTTACATGCATTTATTTTTCAGCATTAAAACATTAATTTTAGAGTCATAACTTCATGAAATATTAATGGACCTTACATAATCACATTAAAACTCAAAAAGAGAAAATTAGAAAGTCCAATGACATTTTCTGAAATGATCTGAATTATGAGAAGACAAAGATTTCCACTACTATCATCACTAGGAGAAACGGTCTTATATTTGATGTTTGAAAATCCTCACATATGATACTTTATAAAAGTTCAGCATAAGAAAAAAATATTCAGCTTTTACATTTTAACAGTATGGGGGAGGGGAGGTGGAGTAAGATGGCCAAATAGAAACATCCAGAAATCATCCCTCCACACGAACACCTATTTCAACATCTATCCATACAAGCAAGCACCTTCAGAAGAACCAAAAATCAGGTGAGCAATCATACTACCTGGTTTTAACATTATATCAAGTAAAGAGGTACTGAAGGGGGCAGAAAGGACAGTCTTGCATTGCCTTACAAGGGTGGGGAACCTGCAGCCTCAAGGCCACATGTGGCCCTCCAGATCCCCAAGTGTGGCCCCTTGAATGAATCCAAACTTCACAGAACAGATTTGTTCTGTAAAATTTGGATTCAGTCAAAAGGCCTCACTCAAGAATTCAGAAGGCCATGTTTCCTTCTGGCCCACTATGCCACTCTTGCCCCATCCTCCCAGCAGTGTCTGCCCCAGTACACCAAGTGGAGAGAGAATCTGTGTATCCAGGGGAGAAAGAGTGAAGTGATTGTGGGGCTTTGAATTAAAACTTACCCTGGCACAGGGGGGCACAGCACAGGGCAGAATTATGCCAGTGCCCATGGAGGAAGCATATTGACCAGCCTGGCCAGAGGCAAATCCTTTGCCCCAAAGCCTAAGTTCCCACTAGCCCCATCATTGGCTGACAAAAAGCAGCCTGAGGCCTGGACAAAATTCATAAGGTAGTTGGGACACAGGGCTGCAGTCCTCGGGCAATTCCTGTAGCTGTGTTGCCTCAAAGCCAGTGGACTTGGGGTGCACACAACCCAGTGAGAAACCAGCAGTGTGGCCAAGCCAGTGCCTGTGTCACCCCTCCCCCAACTACAGGAAGCTTGGCTCAGGGAAAGTCTTCTTCCACTTGAGGAAAGGAAAGGGAAGAGCTCAGAGGACTTTGTTTTACAACTTGGGTACCCACCCAGCCACAGTAAAATAAAGTGCCAAGCAGACTCCTGAGGTCTCTGAGCTCAGCCTTAGTTCCTAGATGACATTTTTGGACCCACCCCAGCCCAGAAGGAAACATGCTACCTTGAAGGAAGGACCCAGTCCTGGAAGGATTCACCACCTGCTGACTAAAGAGCCCTTGGGCTTTGAATAATCACCAGAGGTAGCCAGGCAACAGTCACCACTGCTCTTGGGTGAGACTGGGCTGGCTTCAGGTATGACCTGGTGCTGGTGGCCACAAGGGAATGCCATGTCACTCCTCCCTCAATTCCAGCAGCCCACCACAGAGAGTGAGGGAAGAGAGTGAGAGACTTTGCCTGGTAATCCAAGGAATTCTCTTGTGTCTTACTCAAGCTCACCAAGGCAGTAACATCAGGAGTCTGCAAGAATCACAGCATTATTGGGTTTGGGGCTGATAAGGCTGCAGTAACCAAAGACTTAGCCCACAACACTCAATTCCCTTTGAGTATCTGGAAAGACTTCTCAAGAAGAATAGGTTAAAATAAGCCCATACTGTGAAAATTAAACTAAATACCTAACTCCCCAATGCCCGGACATTGATGAACATCCACAGGCATCAAGAACACCCAGGAAGACATGACCTCACCAAATGAACTAAATAAGGTATCAGTGACCAATCCTGGAGTGATGGAGATAGGTGACCTTTCAGACAAAGAATTCAAGAAGAAGCTCAATGAACTTCAAGACAATGCAGAGAAGGAATTCCAAAGCCTGTCAGAGAAATTTAATAAAGAGATTGAAATATTAATGATAAAAAGAAATCAAGCAGAAATTCTAGAGCTTAAGAATTTAATTGACAAACTGAGAAATGCATTACAGTCTCTCCACACCAGAATTGACCAAACAGAAGAAAGAATTAGTGAGACTGAAGATAGGCTATTTGAAAATACATAGAAGAGAAAAAAGAAAAAGAATAAATAAGAGTGAGGCATTCCTACAAGATCTAGAAAATAGCCTCGGAAGAACAAATCTAAGAGTTATTGACTTTAAAGAGGAGGTAGAGAGGGAGATTGGGAAAGAAAGTTTATTCAAAGAAATAATAACACAGAACTTTCCAAACCTAGAGAAACATATCAATATTCAGGTACAAGAGGGTCATAGAACACCAAGTAGATTTAACCCAGACAAGGTACTCAAGGTAGTTAATAATCACACTCCCAAAGGTCACAGATAAAGAAAAGGTCCTAAAGAAAGCAAGAAAAAAGAAAAAATAATAACATATAAAGGAGCTCCAATACTTCTGGCAGCAGATTTCTCAGTGGAAACCTTACAGGCCAGAAGAGAGTAGCATGACATACTCAAAGTGCTGAAGGAAAAAAACCTTAACTCTAGAATATTATATGCTGCAAAAATATCCTTCACACATGAAGGAGAAATAAAGACCTTCCCAGACAAACAAAAGCTGAGGGATTTCATCAAAACAAGACCTGTCTTACAGGAAATCCTAAAAGGAGTTCTTCAGTCTGAAAGAAAAGGGCATTATTGAACAATAAGAAATCTTCTGAAGGTATACAACTCACTGGTAACAGTAAGGACACAAATACAGAATACTCTATTGCTGTAATTGCAGTGTATAAACCACTTATATTTTGAGTAGAAAGACTAAAAGATAAACCTATCAAAAATAACAACTTCTTGAGAGAGAGATAGTCTAAAAAGATATGGATGGAAACAATAAAAAGTTAAAAAGGTCGGGGGAGAGGAATGGAGCTAAAGGGTAGAATTTCTATTAGATTTCTCCTTCTTTGTTTGTAAGCAGAGTTGTCATATGTTTACAATAATTGGTTATGAAATGCTTTTTGCAAGCCTCATGGTAACCTCAAATCAAAAAAACCTACAACAGATACACAAAAAGTAAAAAGCAAGAAATTAAAACACACTAGCAGAGAAAAACACTTTTTACAAAGGAAGACAGGAAGGAAGGAAAAAAGAGAGAACCACAAAACAACCAGAAATCAAATAACAACATAGCAGTAGTAAGTCCTTACATAGCAATAATAACATTGAATGTGAATGGATGTCAAAAGTCATGGAGTGGCTGAATAGATAAAAAACAAGAGCCAACTATATGTTGTCTGCAAGAAACCTACTTCACCTATAAAGACACACATAAACTGAAAATAAAGGGATGGAAAAAGATATTCCATGCAAATGAAAACCAATAAAGAGCAGGAGTAGCTATACTTCTACCAGGTGAAATAGATTTCAAGACAAAAATTGTAAAAAGAGACAAAGAAGATCATTATACGATGATAGTTGTGTCAATTCATCAAGAGGATATAACAATTCTAAATATTAACATATATGCACTCAATACTACAGCACCCAGATATATAACACAATTATCAGAGCTAAAGAGAAAGATAGATCCCAATCCCCTTACTATAATTGCTGGAGACCTCAACACTCCACTTTCAGCGTTGGACAGATGACCCAATCAGAAAATCAACAATGAAACATTGGACTTAATCTGCACTATGATCCAAATGAACCTAATAGATATTTACAGAACATTTCATCCAACAGTTTCAGAATTCATGTTATTCTCCTGAGCTCATGGATCATTCTCCAGGATAGACCATATGTTAGGCCACAAAACAAGTCTCAAAAAATTCAAAAAAATTGAAATCATACCAAGTGTTTTCTATGACCAAAATAGAATAAAACTAGAAATCAATAATAAGAGGAACATTGAAAATTGTATAAACACATGGAAATTAAACAATATGCTCCTGAATGACCAGTGGGTCAATGAAGAGATTAAGAAGGACATTTAAAAATTTTTCAAAATAATTGAAAATGAAAATACAACATATCAAAACTTATGAGATACAGAAAATTTTAAGTGTCAGGAATAATATTTTGGTAAAAAATTTGAATAGTGCATAGCAAAATGCATCACTTATGTAAAAGATGACCTACATTTATAACTTGCTAACTTGGGGAAAAAAATTAATGCAAAAATAATAAATGTTTCATAATAAAAAATGATCACTATGAAAAACAAAAGAAAATATTAAGGAGTCCGAGAAGTCATTCAGCCCAACCTCTCACTTTGCAATAAGGAAACATGGTTCCACAGTGATGTGATTGGGCCAAGGTCACACGCCTGGGCTGAGCCCCCTGACCATCTTCAATGCCACTTCATACTTACCCACACAGGAAGGAATTAGCCAGAATAGTTTTCAAAACTATCTTAAATTTATAATTTTGAAGAAATGTTACAATCTTGTTTTTGTCCAACACTTAGGCCTTACTACCATGCTTTAGCTGAGTGGGGTGTTATCTGACAAGTGCACTGTAGGCCATGTCAGAAGTCAAACACTGGAAACAAATGAACCTATGTTTACAGATAGAATTA